CAATCACAATAGAGTAATATTCTCTTAACGCAAAGCAATCTGCAAAAGCACAAGCATAACCTGTGAATCAACCCTCTCTATCATTCAGAAGAGCTGGATTATGTGGACCTTAGAATAACAAATGACGTTAGGATCTTTTAACAGTTCTTTGTGCAAGCATTGCTGTACATAAGAAAATCCTATTTCCTTTTGGGCTTGGCGCATTTCAAAAAAAGCTGGGGCTTGAAAGGATTGAGGAGAGATGGATGTTATGGCTTGTGCGTGTTCCTCGTCTCCTTTCAAAGCATATGTCGCCACGTAAATCATTTTTATCCGTATGGCCCGTTTTTTACCGTTAGCCGTAGGAAGTATGTCTACATTTACATACAGGAAGTGATAGCATCTAGCAAACCTCATTCATCTGAAATTCGACTCCTTCAATATTCACAGACTGGTCGTTGAAAGTGACTCGGGATCCGAGGCGAATTTCCTCCTCACTTCCAGAAGTAAACGTGGCACGTTTACCGGGAATATCGAGCAAATCTGGAGGACCAGCCGGCATAACTATAAGGAGAACTTTGGCTTCATATATTAAGCATGTTGCTACTAAGTTTAACGCGTTAACACAAAGAACATCAGTGCTGAAAGTCAAAAAGTCACAAATGCGCCCGCCTACAGTAAGCACACACGCGAGAGGACAGTTACTACCTACCGTTTTCTGTAAATGTACTGTAGTTACGCTGCATGACCGCGACTGCTGCAATGGCCTACACTGGTCGTTGAGATTCTACGACCGCATTGATTACCATTGAAAACAATTTGACTCGGAGGGGTGTTAGTGACTGAGTGAGTAAGTGAGCGAGCCAGCAAATATCTATGGGTGTCTCTGCCCGCAATTGGAACGAACTTAGCCAGGTGACAGCTAGTCCATCGACAAGCTCTGACTTCAACAATAGGACAAGTCAGCCGGAAGTACAAATGGGCGTGGGAGTGAGATGGGTGGAGAGGAAGCTATGTGAATCATAT